TAGTCTATGAGTATTAGAAAAACTATTATTAGAGAAATATTTGACAAAAAAATGACCATTTTGAAATTTTATTTTATGTTTAGATGATGAAAAATATCAAAATGTTGTCACAAAACAATCATAAAATGAAGTTTTTGATGGAGGATTACCGTGAAAATTAATCTAAATAATAAAATACTACATGGATAAGTATTGCTAATTAAAGATTGTTTTGGGGAATTGCCTTATTTGAAAGGAATTTTTTGAAAATTTACTCTAAGTTTTGATACATGTCCATCATTGTTAAAACTATAACTTTTATATCAAAAAATATCATCTCTCATAGTTAAAAATATTAATGTAACATAAACCATAAAATAATTTGAGAATTGCAATAAATAAAATTTTATTTTAATTCAAATTATAATTTTATCAAATTGTTTAAAAATTTAAACTGCATATGAGCCCGTTACTAAAACTAGTAAATGATTATCCCTTTATTCCAAAATTACTGTCATATTTTCTATTTCAGGTTTCTGATAACTTTTGTTTTGTGTATGTATTTTTATTAATCATTTGATAAAATAAAATAAATATATAATCACTAGTTTTGTAAAATTGGTGTAGTTTTAAATATAGAAATTATTCTTTTTATTTTCATATTAATTTTAAAATAAAATCTTATTCAAAGTAATAGAAATTATGCATGTTGTTCGATAAAAATAGAATTTTGGACAAAGGAAGTATACTCTAATACTCCTTCGTCCTAGAAATCATGTCCCGATTATTATTTTGTACTATCAATAATTTTAATTTTTTACAAGTTTTTATTAAACATTTGATAAATAAAATATTTTTATCATGTCTTATTTTGTAGAACTTTTAATACAGTGTTAACATTGTAATTTATATATTTTTTTATTTAGATACCAATTTGAATATTAAATTATTTTTAAAACGGTAAGTTTTTGCTCGTTGTACGAAGCAAGACAATGTTTTATGACAAAGGAAGTTTTTTAAGTGCTATTGTGGTTCTAAAGTTGACTTCTGAATTGTGAACGTTCTCAAATTTCTCACCAATATTTTATAGATAATAGAATCATAGTTTGATCTCTTTCTTTTGACAAGACCCAACTCATATTACCATTTTATATACTCGTATTAAGGTCCAAGTAATAACCTTAAAAGAATTAGCCAGTTTCTATTCACTTCATTTCAAAAAAGGTCATAATAAGGGCCACAGTTCCATTTTTATAAAACTCTTTTTAGTTTACATTATTCATCTCTCCTAAATATTACGTTGAATTACATAAATTCACTTTTATTAATATATATGCTTGTTAAATCATATGTAAAAGGAGAAGTTGGATAAAAATAAAAAACTATAAAAATACCAAATATGAGTTCTAAGTTTTTTAGAAAAACTAAAATAGGAATTAACAATTTAACACAGTCATTATTTCACAGGCACACTCACCACATTATCATACTGTTATCTGTCGGCGTCGCCCACCACAGCACCGCAGTCAATCGTCATTGTTGACCGGTAGTTCCCCAGTAGGTTATTGGTCACGCTTCCATACCACACTGTAATTTTTTTAACACTCTTAGATCACACAACCACTATACTTCTATTTTGATTTTAAAAATCTTAGCACTTTTTGAATTTTGTTAATGTAAAACACGTTCACGATATGGAGGGATTAATACTCACTTCGCTTTTAAAAGATTGCCAACAGTTTGAATTTTTAGTCAAATTGTGGCATACTTTGACTCTGAATTATGGAAAAGTTTTTTTTAACAAAGTGCACATTTTATTCAATGAATAATCCATACAAATTACATGCCTCAAGCTCTTGCATTCATCAACTCATATTGCTTTAAACTACTTGTATTTGGGTTGTACATAGATAGATACATGAAACTTAAGATATGAAACACACTTCTCTACCGATGTCTCTTCCTTCTTATAGACTTTATGATTTCTAGCCCTCCATATAACATAGCAACAAGCATTGAATATGACAGCTTTTAACTTTTTCTCACTTCCATATCTCTTAAGGATTGCACTTTGATATACACTCCAACCCAAGCAGACATCTCACCCAAAACTTCTGCCGCATACTGGCATGAACAAAAGCGGTGGTTTAGGTTGTCTTCACACTTTCCACAAATGCCACAACTAGAGTCTATTTGTAGGAATCTATTTATCCTGGTTTTGGTCCGAAGCCTCCCTTTCCAGATCAGCCATGCCACCACTTGATGTTTAGGTTGAGTTTAATTATTTCAAGCCATATTATCCCAATCCATCTTGGTCTCTCTAGCTCCCATAAGGCATTTATATCCATCTTTGGTGTTATAATCACTCACAACATGCATATTCTTGAATTCATCCATGACCTTTCGAATTTTCTTCCAGTAAAAGCAATTATCTCATTTACACTCAGATCATACCGTCATATTGTATCTTGCTTTAAGTACCTGTGATGCATCCATTTAACCCAAAGGATATCCTTTTTTCCAGCAATATCGATCCCAAATCACTTTCATAACATTAGCTTTGTTCCATTTGACCAAGCTCTTTGGGCCTAAGCCTCCATTTGCCTTTGGTTGACATACATCTTCCCATGCTATCAAAGGGCATCTCTTAGACATAGGTGATGATCCCACATATGGTTCTTACAAACATCTTGTACACTCTTCATAAGCTTGTTTGGTATAACCAACATCTTGGACCAGAAAGCCATAATTCCAAACAGAATAGAGTTAATAAGTCTGATCCTCCCTGCATAGGATAGATTTTTGGATACCCAGAAATTTATTTTAGTAGTAAGCTTCTCCACCAACCTGTCACATTTTCTTTATCCAATCTTAGTTGCTATTATGGGATACCCAAGGTACCTAAAGGGAAACTCTCCTTTAACCATTTTAGTCACTCTCAAAATTCTGTTTTCTATCTCCAAGTTGACTACTCCAATCGCAATCTGGGATTTGTCATAATTTATGTGTAGGTCAGTCACCTTCAAAGTGTTTCAAAGCATGAAACACTTCCTTAATAGACCCTTTATTAGCTTTACACACTACAATCAAGTCATATGCAAACAGTAATGGAGATATGGGATCTCCTTGTCCAAGGTCTCTCCCTCCTTTAAAGTGTCCACAGATTTCTCCTTCTAGTTGAATTGAGAAGGTTGTGTATTTAGTTACGGAGTATAATATAAATTTAGTAAAATTTGATTTTTTTTAAAATATTAAATTTTTATAATGTTTAATCATTTTAAACTTTACTCCGTATTAATTTTAGGTCAAAAGATGTTACAATTTGATTAAAAAAGTCAAATTATGATAATCTTTTAAAGATGAAGAGAATATTGAAAACTAAAGTCAAATGTAATTTTTGAAATAAATGAATAAAAAAGTTCGGTTTGTTTTTAAGGTAGGAATGCAGTAATTACTCAATTATACTACTCGGTATTAGCTTTCTCTCTCCCTCCTTAAAGAGAGTGGAAAAGAAAAACCTCTCTGTACCCTTTTTTTTTTATTATTTTATTGCTCCGTATCCTTATTTTATTTCTCTCTCTGAAGACCAAACCCAGAATAACCAAACCCTTGTTTTTGCATTTCCCTTCTCCTACAGAACCGAAAATGGAGGCTTTGGACCCGACGACGTGTTTCCTGGTTGACGGCGACGACCTTCTCGACTTCTCATTGGAGGGGGACGAAGAGGAGGAGAAGGACAGGAACCAGACCGCCGCCGCCGCCATTGGCTACGGCGGCCCTACGCCTTCGAAGTTCGTTAACCCCGACGGCTTCCCTGTAAGTCCCGCTCTCGATTACTCACTTTCCCTGCGTTTATCTCCGGTGAATGGAGTCCGTGTTAGGGCTTGACTCGGGCGAGTCCCGGCGGTTTCGCCTGACTCGGACGAGTCCGTCCGTTTTGACCTTTTTTATTTACTCGAGGTGAGCGAGTCAGAATTGGCTGCTACTGTTCACTCAGGCCGTCGATGGCATTTCCGTAAATAAGCCTTGAATTGATGTCGTTTCAAACATGGCTTTGTCAGTTTTGGGGTTTGTGGACCATTTTCCTCTCCCTAATCGTAACCGTTTGAACGAGGGGCAGTTTCGGAAATAGACCGACTGTTTCGGGACATTTCCGTAATTTGGTCGCCGCCTCTAAATGCGGGATTAATGTTGGGCGCGTCGGTTAACACGGCGTGCGATGAGCTGTGCAAATAAATGCCCTAATACCTGTCTGAAAGTGCTCACATGCGGTGCGTTTTATGTGCGCTTGTGAAAATACAGTTTTGCCCCTGCGCTTTGATTTTCCCATTTTGTCCAATTTGCCATAAATTCCAGCTTTGATTATATTAACATTAACATTCGAATTTTCGCAATGATATTCCAAGATTGTGAATTAGATTCCCAAATTTGTTCTTCGCCTAATTATGGGAATTTATTATGGGTCCGTTTGGAACTTGAACTGTCTCCTAAAGAAAATAGGAAAGAAAATATGAAGGAATTCATTTCATTTATTGACTTTTGCTACTCCGTACTATGTAAAGACTAAAGAATATGTTAAAACTTCAATTCTAATTATTTATCTTTGCATTTTTGGAATCAAAGCGGAACACAATAAAATAACTTGTTCTTTAGATGAATTGTGATCAAAGATTTGCTGAGGATTTAACAAATGAAAAAACAGAGCAATCTCATGCATCATCTTAACTGTATTGTTTCAATGACTGAGTTGGGTGGTGTTGATTTCCTTTTCTAGGAAGCTATGGAGGAAGAGCTGGAGTGGATATCGAACAAAGACGCATTCCCAGGTGTCGAAACGTGTTTTGGCATTTTTGTGGACAACCCGTTATTTCATCAGAAGAGCCCGGTGTCTGTTTTGGAGAATAGCAGCAGTAATAACAGCAACAGCAATGTCAATAGCTCTGGGAATGGAGTGATTAGTTGCAATGCCAGCTTGAAAGTCCCACTCACTTATCCCATGCGTCCTAGGAGCAAGAATCGAAGACCGAGGAGGACTGGGTTTGGGGACTTCCCTGCCCAGAACTGCCTCTGGGCAAGAAATAAGAACGAAGCAACATTCCTAATGCGCCCAATAACAATGGGGGAAGGGTCAACTGGGACTGCCACCATTGGGAGGAGATGCCAGCATTGTGGGGTTGATAAGACCCCACAATGGCGAGCTGGTCCTACAGGGCCAAAGACTTTGTGCAATGCTTGTGGAGTGCGGTACAAGTCGGGCAGGCTCTTGCCCGAGTATCGCCCTGCCAACAGCCCCACCTTTTCCTCTGTGCTGCACTCAAACTCTCACCGGAAAGTTATGGAGATGCGGCGGCAGAAGGTGGTCGGAGAGGGACCAAAGCTGATTTTAATGAAGCCTGTGGATATAGTGTAGTAGCCTAGTAGTGGTGAGTAGTTCACAACATCTTGTGCAACTTTTACTTTTTTTTCCATTTCCTTTGAAAGTTTCAGTCAGTTTTAAGGCTTAGGGTTGTTGTAATGGGCTAGGATGGGTTAGGGAACCACAGTTGTTGCTCTGCTTGTGCTATAAACAATCTAGGGAATTTTGAGCTTAGTTGTGATTGGTCATGATGATTAGAACAGAATTCCAAACAGAAGTTTTCTAACATAGGAGTGTATGTGTTCATGCTTTTTCTCATTTACTCAAGTCTTCATTTCCTCCCTTCATTTGAAATGATGAAGCTGTGAAAAGGTAAACATCTGTAAGAGATATGATGTGAAATTCTNAAGCTGATTTTAATGAAGCCTGTGGATATAGTGTAGTAGCCTAGTAGTGGTGAGTAGTTCACAACATCTTGTGCAACTTTTACTTTTTTTTCCATTTCCTTTGAAAGTTTCAGTCAGTTTTAAGGCTTAGGGTTGTTGTAATGGGCTAGGATGGGTTAGGGAACCACAGTTGTTGCTCTGCTTGTGCTATAAACAATCTAGGGAATTTTGAGCTTAGTTGTGATTGGTCATGATGATTAGAACAGAATTCCAAACAGAAGTTTTCTAACATAGGAGTGTATGTGTTCATGCTTTTTCTCATTTACTCAAGTCTTCATTTCCTCCCTTCATTTGAAATGATGAAGCTGTGAAAAGGTAAACATCTGTAAGAGATATGATGTGAAATTCTCCACTCTTGTTTTGGCTGAATTCCCCCCCCCCTTATGACGAATTGACATTTTTACCCTTCGAAATACAAAAGAGTGAGTTTAGATGCAAACGAACTCCCCCGGTGGTGTTGGACTACGGCTCAGTCCGGTCCCTCTCCCTCGTGAGTCTAAGGGGGAGGTAACCATTGAATATGGGGGGATTTATTTACTCATTCATTGAGGGCAGGTTGGTTACATATACAAGTGACAAAAGAGAATGGAAAGATAGCATCAGCTATATATTATAATGGATGGGTATGTCACATACTCACATGGACTGGATATGTATGGCCCCTTTTTCATCCCATACTACAACACATGTTTTGTGGTTACATTCATCACACACACATGGAAAACAAAGGTGGTGGGTTTAATAATTGTAGGTTACAATGTTGTTTTGTGGTCAACATATGGGGTCGTGAAAAGATCCTTTGAATCTTTTCTGCTTTGTCAATTTCTTATTATGGGTTGCTTTGAAGGAAGGGGCATTTGGTGAGTTGAGGAGTCGTGGTAGTCTGGGCAAAACCTGGACGGCTCCCATTACCCTTTACATCTTTGTCAAGGCTGTCCTTTTTCATGGATTCAATTCTCACACCAAGCAATTTGGTGTTTTTATTTGTCAATTGCTTGTTCACACAAACTTTATATACTCCCTCCGTTCCAAATTATTTGGCACATTTGTATTCCTGAGGCAAAATATCAAATTTTTTCAATTCATTTTATTTACATATTGGTAAAGAAATAAAAAATAAAATTTACATATAAAAAACTACATGAAAAGTTCTTCGAAACAAGAGGTGTCAAGAATATTTTATTTTATTAAATAATCAATGAAAATGTCATAATAAACAAAAGTGTCCGACACTGCTAAAAAAGCAAATGTTAGTGAATATTTAGTGACGGAGAGAGTATATATATGCGCGCGCGCACACACACACACACACACACACACACACATATATATAAGTGCTTTAGATAGTGAGATCTAAGGGTTATGATTGCATCAAAATTAAGTGCACTAAAATGATTTGAAAATGCATCATGTATACATGCACCAAAATCCTTTAAAAATGCACTATCTCAAAATCTGGGTGCAGGATGCAATCTGAGCTGCGCAATGCATCACATCTAAAGGATAGATTTTATTCTTATTTCTTTCACCAAGGTGTGTTATCACCTGAACCACCCCTGTGTGTGTGAAAACACTAATAAAAGACATCTTTCAACAAAAAAGTCATACATCGCTTTGGGACCACATCTGAATTTTACATTTTGCATAGGATGAAAACAGACTTGGTATGTTCGTTGCTCTAAATGATTCTTTATTCAATTTCTATAATTAATAAATTACTAATTTTATATAATAACATTTCATTCTAGTATATTTTTCTCCCAAATTAGACTCGTCATTATTGGAAATAGACCATGAATGTCAAAAACCATTTCACTGCTATGCCAAGGAATAAGCCTTAGAATATGATGACCGGGTATGAGTGGCCTTAAGGGGTAAAAACCAAGCCTAAGTGGTGTGAGCGGTGTGGTGTAATATGTAAATATACTAAAGTTCAAAATAATGTGCTAACTTTGAGAGATAAATCACAAACAAAAGAAATTCCAAGCAAATTCTTGTCATGAATTGTAATTTGTGTAACAGAGAAGATGAAACAACCACTCATCATTTCTGGCACTGTGATTGTGTACAAAAGCTCTACAAAGCAATTGGGACTTGTATATGTGGTGTTGGGAGAGAAAGATGTGTATTTGTGCAAAAATTCTTATCATATTAAAATGTTAGCCGTCCAACGCAAAAAATGTTAGCTTCCACATAAAAAATTTATTTTATCTCCCTGTCCACATGCAAAGAGCTTCAGATTCAGATGTCCTATACATTCATGCACATACCAATACCAAATGAATTTCTCAAAGATGTTCTACGCTACGAGTGTAGCAAATTAAGCTAATATCCCATTGCAGTAGAAATAGCCAAGCACCTTAAGTTTTTGATATTTCACCTCCTCGACTCTCAGCTGATCACGTAAATATTGAAGCTCCTGCGTAACAATAAAGCCATGTGGGGTTTCAAATTTTTATAACTTTTAATAAAATGCAATTCAAGATATTAATGATTTAATTTGTGCAATTAGTAAGCGTGAAATATCCCTACATATGCAAGGTGATCTTCGGCAGCAGAAGCAGCGGTTGATTCGGTTTTCCCAGTTCCCTGATCAGAGGAAAGCCAGTCTAAGCAATCAATCAAAAGCATGAAAACAAGTACTCATTTCTACCAAGCAAGCCTCAAGTAATTTGTTACCCTGGGATCAAAGGTATCATTGGGAGCACCATGCACACCATACGTACAGTTGGGAATCGGTGTCATCAAGGGTGACTTATGGCTTGGTTTAAGGATATGCACCTGCCAATATCAACAACTTATTACACTCTACCTTTCTAAAGGGCAAATGCAACAGAGGCAACATAGTAATGGTTGTATTTGGCAAACAGCTTTTCGAAAAGGTTGGTCTACTTGACAAATGAGCCTTCTAAGGAAGAGCTATTCACTCCAATACCACTCTCAAACATACACCCAATTAGTTGTTCAAACGTTGTTCAGGAGATGCATGTGCACATATACACACATGTATGTGCACACCCACGCGTGCGAGTTACCGTACCTTATTCGTAAGGCAATTACTAAATCCACCAAAAGATATCAGCACAGTCTGACCTTCATAGGCGCTCGCTACCAAACTCGATCCCTGCGGCAAGAGTACCATAGAGTCATACATTACTTACTCTTGATCCAATAGATGAATGAAAAACTATGGCAGGCAACAATTATATCATCAATAAGTTACCATCGTGGTAGCAGATATGCATTCCCCTGTAGTCGGTAACACTGACCATACATAATTTGACATGTTGAGGACGATAAGATCATCGGCTGCAAAATATTATCTTCAGAAAATGTCATCTTTACATAAGCGGAAATTGAATATAAGCCGTAATTCATTAAATAAACAGAAATAGTCGCAGGAAGATAAAAATATTGAAATCCTTCTACCAGTGGTTCCATTGTAACCACCGAAAATAAACCAGCTATCTCCAATTGTTGCACCTGCATGACCACGGCGTGGTCCTGGTATATCCCCATGCTGCTTGGGTCTCGACCATTCCCACTACATGGGAGCAAGAGAGAAGGATAAAACTGTGAACACGTCTAATTGGAAGAAGAAGAAAAAGCTAAGACGTGCCTTACTGTGTCAATATTTAAAACATGGAGATCATTAACAAACTCTAGATATTTAATACCACCAAATATCAGAAGCTCGCGACGAGCCGTATGAACAGTAGCAGCATGATCAAACCTGGCTGCTGGAGGAACTCCTCTGTTCAAGGAAGACATTACAACTATGTTATGATAAAAAAAGAGATGATCATAAGCATTGCTCCCCTCAGTCCCCTTCATTCTAAGAAAAGATGGAAAAAATTTCAAAACTATCTTTAGTAATGCAGTTAAATTTCAAGACTGTACTCACTCTATCCCGAAATAAGTCCCTATTCCCTTTGTGGGACGTCCCAAATAAGAGTCCACTTTCCGCATTTGAAAATGTTTTTGTGGTTCATATTCTTTTGCCTTCGCCTCACTTTTAACCACACAATTTCACTTTTCTTAATCTTTGCGCCGAGTATAACTTTTGGGTCAGGAGTACAATTTATATACTGACTAAAGATAAGAGGTGCTGTAATCAACATGTTTTTTAAACAAACCCAAGTTGTCAGCATTAAGCAAGAGTTGTGCAACCCATCCCTTTAACCCTGGAAGAAGTTAAGCAGTAAACAACCGACTAAAGGACCAGTTTGAATGGCACAAAAATGCAATGCTAGCATACCTAACCAGCGGTTTGCTCCAATTCCTGCTCACAAGATCAAGCGGTTTTGGGCTGGTTGCTTTCACAGTTGATTGGTGAAACAGTTGGGGAAGTGAAGACTTGGAGATATGCATCAAAGAAAGGCAGAGATGGCTAGACATTCAGATGCCTTTATTGCCTTATCAGGTTTGGTCTTTGTTCTGTCACTTTTGTGCCACTTATATTGTTAATTAGGCAAATTATCAGAAAAGCAAAAAAAAGGTGTATTTCTATGAAAAAACAACTATGGGTTGAACTTAATGAAAGGAGTAAATGACCCAAAGACCCCAAATGAGAATTCCATTTGGGGCTTTTTTTATACAGATTAGGGGCTTTTAAATGGTCATAAAAAGACACATTATATCTCGGGCTAGTCTTTAAGTTTGACAAAAGAAACCATACAAGTTCTTTTTATCACCCGCTAATCTAGTCTATTAGTGTTTGATTTGTTTTACTACAATGTATTTTTTCAGAATAAGGTTGATTTTCAACCTCTTTGAGAATTTGAAGTCAAGATTGAAGTGACAAAATGATGGAGGAGCTGGAGCTGGAGCTGAGGAGCTAGAGTTGAGATGAATTTTAGATCAAGATTTGACTTTTTTGTTCTTAAAATATGTTAAGATTTTATATCATCATTTTGAAATTGTACTATATTATATTATGAATATTTGATTGATTAGAGTTATATATACCATGTATTTTGTTTTAAATCTTTATACATAACTTTTGCATACTTTCGTATTTTGGTATCTTATAAATAAAAATGATTTCTAGAAAGTATAATTTGTGGCATTATAAATTTGCTACTAAATATGATTTTTGTGGCAAATAATAATTTGTGGCAACTAAAAGTTGCCACTATACATGAGTTTTTGTGGCAAAGTATTATTAGTGGCAAACCATAATTTGCCACAAAAACTATGACTTTTGTGGCAAATTTAAATTTGCCACAAATACCTTTTGTAACGGGGTATCTGTGGCAACCTTGTGGCAAATTCAAGAATTGCTACAAAAAGTTAGTGGCTAATTTTTTATGTTTTGTGGCAAAATTTGGTGCCACAAAATGTCAAGTTTTTTGTAGTGATCGCACTAGAACTGAGAAAAACAAACAAACAAACAAACAAACCGATCAATAATTCACTTGAACCAGTTAAGTGCCAATCCCTAAAATGAGGGGTAGAGGAAGATCGAGGGAAAAAGCAAAGAAGTCTTTCACACGAGGGGCAATTCAATGCATTTTATGTTTTCCTTTTCCTAGTTTTTGGCCTTTTTTTCTCTTCCAACCCGTGTTGTCATTCTCATTCTCACACGTCAGCACTACACACACACACACATCCTAGAGTCTTGTTCCATCCATGTTTGTCAAATAGAAAGGTGGAATGAATCTTACTTTCTTCGGGAGTGTGAAATTCAATGATCCTGCCTTTCTCATCAAACAAGACCATTTCGTCAGTATAAAGTTTTGAAGTGAGCTTGAAGTCCTTAATGAGTTGATCATCCGACTTTCTGTTTTCTTCATTCAAGTAAATTCTCAACTTCACATTGTCAAGGCAACTCCGGTCTGAATAGCCCAGCAATATACCATACATAATTCATTTGAGACAAACACAATTTTTATACAACACAACAATTGAACACATAAAAGCAAACAAACAAAAATCCCACCTTGATGAGACCTTTAGCCAACATCTGCTCCAAAGTTTCTTCTTTGTAAACCAAAGTCCATAACCCAATTGGGAGCTCTGTTATCACCAAAGTAGTTGGCTTAACTAACTTCACCACGCCTGAGCTAGTATAAATTCTATGACCCCTTACATCATTGCCAGAATGCAATATGCTCCCCTTGAAACCTCTGTACCATGGACATAAAAGTTCTACTTCCATTATTTCCTCCTTTACTCCTTTGGCCTTTTTCTCCTTTTCAAAAGTGAGGAGACACCGGAGGCGGTCAATTATGTCTCGTGGATTAAAGCACGGAATGTTTGATCGCCAACCGGTTCCGAGTCCGGTACACCCATTTACAAGAATTAAGGGGATAACCGGAAGATACCTGTATGATAAAAACATAACATCGAAGAGAGTATTATTAGAGACAATAAATGGCATATATCTTCTGGAAGGAGCACAAGAAAGGATGATTTATAACATTGCTTTTGTTTTAATACACTTGCAAACATAAACCAATGTTATAAAACAATGATCATACCACTTAGGCTCAAGAATCTGAACACCTTCCTTCAAATGCTCGAGGAGACAATTGTCAATCTCGGGGAAGACCAGTTTAGCTATGGACGAAAGTTTGGTATGGCCATACCTAGCCATGCCATGATGTTGGGGCCCCTATAAAAATACAAAATTTAATAGTACATATATATGAATTAGAATATAGTATAATCTATTCTCTTCTCTTTGGTTTTTTTTGTTTATTTTTTGCTTCTACTACCTTGTTATCTCATTTTTTAATTTTTTTTCTCCTCTAAAGACCATAATCCATTAATCCCTAAGGATATGCGAAATAGTAAATAATAAAAATAAGATAAGAACAAAAAACGGACCCGAGATCGTGTTCCAAATTGACCCTTTGATTGCATGATGTTTAAGTTTGTTCTACCTACAAACTCTTGGGCCATGAGAAAGATGCAATCTGTAAGAACTCCATCGCTGTGATGATATGATGTCTTGGATGATACCTCACCCGCAAAATCCGGCACTTTCATAAATGTATCCAAATTTATCAACAAAGCTGTAAATACCACTTTTCGATGTTGCGCTTAAATCCATCAACCATCGACGGGATTGATCGCCGGTTTTGTGCAATTGAATAATGTATGCACTCTTTGTAGAAGAAATCCGAATATGTGATATTCACCATTCTTGGATCGCCTAGTTGGAGATATTCTTCATCTACTTTATGAGGATCTCGAAACTTTATGAGGATCTCGAAGCATTTTTTTTCTCTCATCACTCATATCTTCGTCAAAGAAAATATTAAATGCAGCATCATCATCTTTCTTAACTGAACTAGGGACGAGCATTTTTCGCAATTCTTTTTGATTTCTAAAATACTCTTGACCTTTGTTGGAGTCATTGTCACCTAAGCCCTGAGAAAAAGAAGTAAACAAAAGAACAATGCGAGTTTTATTGGCTTTGAAAGTGTGATTAATCAACTAATGGTGAATAATATGAGTTTTGAGTGTGTGTGTACACACACACACATAAATACATATATACAATTGTACCTTATAAAAAATGGTGTTCCATTGACCCTCTGGATTAGTGATAATCCACTTCTCATAATCTTGAATAGTGAAAAACGTCAAAGGCTTTCGTATTTTGGACATATCAACAACCTATTAAAGTAAGAAATTAAAGGCTGTGGTATCATTGTTATATAAGAATACAAAGTAGGTTATAGGTATTTACGAGGTGTGATAAGCATTGAAAAGAAAGGAGGCTTCAGAAGCAATAAACGCGGCCAAAAAGTATGAAACATATTAAGGAGCAAGCCTCTTATATGTGACTCATCGTGATCCTATAGATACACCAAACCAAAAAGAAAAAGATAGGCCATGAGATACTTAAATTGTCTCTAAATTAAAAGTAAGAAGCGGAGGAATTAAAAAGAGAATTAAAGAAAGAACATACTTGATCGGTCATGATGATGATGATGATAGAGCCATATCTCAACGATGAAATATTACGATCACCTTGTTTCAACCCAAGGATTTGTTTGATATTCTTGATTTTTTCATTTTGAATAATCTTTTCATGGGTCGAAGCCTTGACATTTATCAGCTTACCGTTTAGAGCAAAGATCCCAAACAGGTGTTAGTCTCTAATGGGTAGACTAGAGAGGTTGTTCTCCTAAATAACGCAACAACCGGGTGACATATATAGAGAACTAACATGATGTAAGAAAGATAAAGTTTGAAGAAGAAAAAGAAGAAGAAGAAGATAAAGGATTTTAAGAAAGGTAGTAATATATTACCACGAGGGATTTGCCGGTTTCGCCTTCGATAAGGACCAAAGTGCATTCTTTGGATTTTGAAGACGAACCGGCATTAGATATCCACGTACTCACCTTGATTATTAGATGAATCAAAAGAGTTCAACGAATTAACAGAAGAACGGGAGGGAAAGCGACAAACACTACAAAAAAATAGTCCTCCTATTTATTGAACTACAACATCTATTTTGAATATAACATTTTACACATAAGTCCATACTCAACTTTTAACACATAAGTCCAAGAAATGTTCCTAGCCACACGCCTTGGTTTACCATAGAAGCCCGTAAGTCTCCACGTGAAAGCGAGAGTACGCGAGAAGTTGTGATGTGTTATTAGTCCTCCATAGCATAGCCAAACCCCCGCTCTTGCCCGACTGTCAACAACAAAAGCACCTGCAAAACCCACCTTAAGATGAAGTTCTTACACCACCTTTTTATCACCTTTAGTTTCTTACAATAAAACAAAGTTTCAAATAACACCTGGATTATACAGAAGGCTGAAGACGATAAACAAAGGAGAATGAATAGTCAATTGGCAACCCCGCATATGGATCCCACCCAAGATCGGCAATTGCACCCTCCTCCTCAATCAATCGCAATTCAGATTTGCGCCAACAATTTGATAATCGGGGAAAATCCTCCTAATAAGCAGACCACTCGCAAATGGAGACGACAAGTGCACAATCAGGGAGGGATAAGACCTGAGATGCACAATCCAGCAGCAAGACGCCTAGGGAGACCCTGACAAGCAGAGAGGGGAAAAACATAGCAACCGGCTAGGAGAGATCTTACTATTGTGAATTTCTAATCTGTGTAAGGTCCCATGTACGTGAAAAAAGCGGAAGGTCCCATGTACGTGAAAAAGGGTCAATCAACCCTGCCAACACAGTCCCACAAAGCTGATGTGGCATAATGTCACAAAAGCGTACCAGCCCCATCACCAATCCTGCGTCGAATCTCACTGCAAATCAAATCATGGGAGGCCATAACACTTCTCCAGCAGTAACTGGGACAATTCCCAACAGCAGCATCAATAAAAGATGATTTAGGAAAGTACTTTGCTTTAAAAACCCTAACCACCAAGGATTGGGGCTTTGTAAGCAAATTAAACACCATCCCTGCTTCCCCAATAAAGCAATATTTGAGGCATGAAGGTCTTCGAACCCCAAGTCCCCAAACTTCTTCGGGACACATCATAAGTTATACCAAGCCATCCAATGTATACCCCTACCATTGGAACCACCATAGCCCCACCAAAAACGACTCATAGTGCGTTCAGCTGAGCACAGAGAATTTGGGATAAGGAACACGCTCATAGAAAAGGTAGGCATAGCTCGAGCTATGGTTTTGAGTAGAATCTCCTTGCCTTCCCTCCTAAGCAACCTCTTATTCCAAGCACTAATTCTCTGTGTAATTTTCTCTTCAATATAGGTGAAAACCGCTCGCTTGTTCCACCCAACAAAAGATGGTAAACCCAAACACTTACCAACATTTTCCGTTCCAGTCACCCCTGAAACACCTGCAATGAGACCACCACGAGCTCCCGTAGTGTTCTTACTAAAACAGATATTGCATTTGTGTAAGTTAACAGCCTGGCCTGACAGATCCTCATACGTACGGAGACACTGCTTGACCACTTCAGCCTCCTGCAAGTTAGCTTTAAAGAACAACAGAATATCATCCGCAAAGAAATAAATGGGAGACCGCGGGGGCTCCATGGGCCACCCTGCAGCCATGAATAGCACCAGAAGACTGCGCCTGCTGCAACATGATATAAAGTCCCTTTGCACAAATAATAAACAATTCACGTGTGGGGGTCACACGACCACCTACGCCACCATTGATCATAATATGATAGGTAACTGTCATGATACATTTCATAATTGAATTCTCCCATCTTTCCCCAAAACCAAGTGCCAACAACATACACTTAAGGAAAACCCTCCATAACCCCCCCCCACCCCCAGCCAACCTTCCCCAACTGCTTCCCATGAACGAAATGACCAATCAATCTCTCCTGCAATTATATCAGTGATTAACCTGCCATGAAGAAAAGCACTTTGGGATTCCGAGATCACCCCACCCAGGAATGGCTTCATTCTGTTGGGCAACATTTTTGCCATGATCTTATAAACAACGATACACAGTGCAATAGGCCTAAACTCCGACACAGTTTGAGGATCCTTCTTCTTAGGGATGAGAATAACATCAGCATCATTGAACCCGACCGGCCAAGCGCCAGAGTCCAATCAACTCAAAACAAAATCAGTCACACCCCCTCCCACTAAATTCCAGAAATGTAGGTAGAATCCAGGGTTCATGCCATCAGGGCCTGGGGCTTTGTCGGGGAACATAGAAAAAAGGGCAGACTTGAACTCCTCGCTCCCAAAGGGGCGATTAAACAGGGTGTGATAGTAGAGAGAAAATCATCACCAATCACCCTAGGGCCACTTGCAAAGAAAATATCTTCAAAATAATTTAGAATAACGGAGTTAATACCAGCCCCCTCAACCCATTTACCAATGCTATCTCTGAGTCCTGTGATGGTATTCTTCCGTTTACAAGCCAATGCATATAAGTGATAGAAACGGGTGTTGGCATCAGCACCCCGTAGCCAGTGTTGTTTAGCACGTTGCCTCCCAAATGCATCTTCTTGAGCTTCCAGTTTTAGATCAATCTGACGAAACTCTGCTAGAGACCTTTGGTCACCACGCCCTCTCCACTTCAGCTGCTCCCTATGCAAGTCTCGAATCTGTTTGCCAAACTTGTAAAACAGATCACCGCCCCATCTCATCAGACTAGTACCACAGCCCTGGACACACTCCATCAAACCTCCCCTACGCCCCTCCCTCAATGCCTCATCCACCACCTTTTTGTGTTCATGAACATCGAGGAAGAGAACAGAATGCTCTGAAGTTCGTTTAGAATAATAACAACTCTAGCATCCTCAAAACCCCTGCACCAGTCTTCATTTTCTACCATCCTATCCAATCTCTCCTCCACCCAAGCTTCTGTACCCCGACCTCTCTCCCAAGTGAAAGGGTAACCCACCGTCGAAACATGTAGTAGACCACGATGATCTAACGCTTCCCCAAAACCCCTAAGGAGGCTATCCAGGTGTGGGAGTGGACCAGGCTTCTCATGCTGGAAAAAGAGATCATTAAAATCGCCAACAATAGCCCAAGGAAGAGGAGACCGAGAGCTTAGACTCTGGAGAAGGTCCCAAGAGGCCCCACATCACCCCCTTTCAAGAAAACCATAGAAACAAGTTAACCTCCAGGGAGAATCACCCCTGGGACAGACAACAACATCCACGTGATTCCTTGAGAAGCTAATCAACCTTGATGTACTATTCTTCCTCAAAAACAACACAAGTCCCCCACTCAAACCAATCCTATCAACATAGAACAACCCATCAAAGCCAATCCTAACACGCAATCTTTCAGCATGTTCTCCCCCAGCCTTGGTCTCCATCAAAAAAAAACCAAAATAAGGCTTCTTTGTAGAAACCAGGTCCACCACTTCGCGAATGGTTTGTGGATTGCCCAAGCCACGACAATTCCAACTTAAGGTACTCACGACGCAGTTCCAGCACGCACAAACCAATCAAACTAACTGTAGTCTTCATTCGCATTTACACTTGTATGTTTGTTCCTGTGCAACGACAGCTAATTAATTACAAATGGAATTCAACAAAATGCACAATAGCAAAGCAGTTCATTGCGCAGCAGAATACATTGAACCCAAAATGCAGCCAGCCAAAAAATTTCAAATGTGCTAGAGATGCACAAGAACCCAAAACTTCACCCCAAAATCCAAAATCAAAGCTAAACTAAGAAACCTGATCACAGCCACAACACGAAATTGGCCGCCATTATTATAATTAATGAATAATAATATTCATTAATTATTAATATTTTTTAGACTCCATAATAATTTTTGCACTCGTATCTACGCCCTTATGTGATAATGTAAGAGCCAACAAATCGTTAATGGGTAGGTACTGGCTCTTTGATTTCTTGAAGATGTGTTTTCTTCCACATATACTAACACTAAAATAAGGTCATCCAATATCATTATCACAGATGTTTTTACATGGAAAACAACTATATATTGCCGCATATATATTTACATTTTGATAAGGGTCAGGGATCTTTAAGTGCATCTAGAGCCTATGTGCCTTTAAACATAAGAAAATTGCAATATATTTCCCTTGAAATTGTTGTAATAGACTATGCCTTTGTCACAGTGCTAATGCCATGTTGTGTTGTGTAGGTTTTGAAATTGACAAACTGTCACGGATAACAAGTCTACGTTGAAAGAGGAAAAAAATGCCAAAATCCTTTGAGACAGGTGCAGCTTGTGAAAACCAAATCATGTTTCTAATTGCATATACCATGATGCAGTTCAAGAAATTCAAGCCTGAAACATAGATCTTTCTAACAGTAGCATTTGAAACAGGAGCAATCTATGAAAACTAGAGTATCATCCAGGACTGGTATCACCAAAGCATCTAAACATAATATCGTACTGTAATATGAAATTGGCAACACTTTTAGCTAAAGTATTCGTAAGAATTGGTAAACTTTTTTATTTGTATATTTATTTATTTTAAAAGGGAGTAGTAAGCGAAACAAAAAAAAGAGGCTAGTACTCTCATAGTAACAAATCTATGCGAACTGTATGAACAAGTATACAAAAGTGACAATCTGAAAATTCAGATTTTCAAATTGAACCACCAAATACAGAGTGTAAACAGCCACTACTAAGCAAGAACTCAAGAATCAGTTTCCAAAGTTATCAATTACATACTAAAAGATAAGAATGTTCTGGAACATAACATACAACGCACAATCATAAAGTGCATTGGATTCAAAACAGAAACGAAATCTATCATATAGCAGGATTAATTATACTTTCAGATTTGTTCAAGTGCTAAAACATGCACAACACTGAAGAATGAACACGAAGAGCAACACATAAACGAAAAGGATACTGAAGAACAACTACGGATTTAAAGATTATACCCTCTAAAACACTTACGGAAGCTGGATTTGGCTTTCCTTTTTGTCCCTTCTCGTCGCTAATTACTGGTCAGTGGTAGCGCCTTCAGAGCTTCGCCATTTCCGTTCCTCCTCTCCATCGTTGAATCTGCTTGTTGCATTGCGCGCGCCTCAGAGATCTTGTGGTCGGGAGCTAGGGTTTCGAACCATAGCCCCTGCGCCATCTCATTATTCCCTATGGAACCATAGCCCTACTTGTGTCCAAGTAATATCAACAAACAAAACATACACACTGAGTAGTAACTAACTTACTAACTACCTACTCTTTCAATTTCATTCTCTACTCCAGTTTCCAAATTTCAAATAGGTAAAAAAAACTCTATTGCTCCACCTAAATGTGGATTTCATTCTCTACTCCAGTTTCCAAATCTCAAATAGGTAAAAAAATTCTGTTGCTCCAGCTAAATGCTGACATGCGTGCAAGCGACGGCTCCAAGGTCAAGTGTCTCAACAATCCACCGAGAGGACTACTCGACGCCAAACATGCCGGTTCGTCTTCAAGATCCAAAGAATGCACTTTGGTCCTTACCAAAGGCGAAACTGGCAAATCCCTCGTGGTAATATATTACTACCTTTCTTAAAATCCTTTATCTTCTTCTTCTTCTTCAAACTTTATCTTTCTTACATCATGTTAGTTCTCTATATATGTCACCCCGTTGTTGCGTTATTTAGGAGAACAGCCTCTCTAGTCTACCCATTAGAGACCAACACCGGTTTGGGATCTTTGCTCTAAACGGTTAAGCTTATAAATGTCAAGGCTTCGACCCATGAAAAGATTATTCAAAATGAAAAAATCAAAAATATCAAACAAATCCTTGGGTTGAAACAAGGTGATCGTAATATTCCTTCGTTGAGATATGGCTCTATCATCATCATGACCATCAAGTATGATCTTTCTTTAATTCTCTTTTTAATTCCNCTTCTTCTTCAAACTTTATCTTTCTTACATCATGTTAGTTCTCTATATATGTCACCCCGTTGTTGCGTTATTTAGGAGAACAGCCTCTCTAGTCTACCCATTAGAGACCAACACCGGTTTGGGATCTTTGCTCTAAACGGTTAAGCTTATAAATGTCAAGGCTTCGACCCATGAAAAGATTATTCAAAATGAAAAAATCAAAAATATCAAACAAATCCTTGGGTTGAAACAAGGTGATCGTAATATTCCTTCGTTGAGATATGGCTCTATCATCATCATGACCATCAAGTATGATCTTTCTTTAATTCTCTTTTTAATTCCTCCGCTTCTTACTTTTAATTTAGAGACAATTTAAGTATCTCATCTTTTTGGTTTGGTGTATCTATAGATCACGATGGGTCACATATAAGAGGCTTGCTCCTTAATATGTTTCATACTTTTTGGCCGCGTTTATTCTTATGTAACAATGATACCATAGCCTTTAATTTCTTACTTTAATAAGCTGTTGATATGTCCAAAATACGAAAGCCTTTGACGTTTTTCACTATTCAAGATTATGAAAAGTGGATTATCACTAATCCAAAGGGTCAATGGAACACCATTTTTTATAAGGTACAATTGTATATATGTATTTATGTGTGTGTGTACACACACACTCAAAACTCATATTATTCACCATTAGTTGATTAATCACACTTTCAAAGCTAATAAAACTCGCATTTTTCTTTTGTTTACTTCTTTTTCTCAGGGCTTAGGTGAGAATGACTCCAACGAAGGTCAAGAGTATTTTAGAAATAAAAAAGAATTGCGAAAAATGCTCGTCCCTAGTTCAGTTAAGAAAGATGATGATGCTGCATTTAATATTTTCTTTGCAGAAGATATGAGTGACGAGAGAAAAAAAGCTTCGAGATACTCATAAAGTAGATGAAGAATATCTCCAACTAGGCGATCCAAGAATGGTGAATATCACATATTCGGATTTCTTATACAAAGAGTTCATACATTATTCAATTGCACAAAACCGGCGAACAATCCCGTCGATGGTTGATGGATTTAAGCACACACAGCGAAAAGTGGTATTTACAGCTTTGTTGATAAATTTGGATACATTTATGAAAGTGCCGGATTTTGCGGGTGAGGTATCATCCAAGACATCATATCATCACAGCGATGGAGTTCTTACAGATTGCATCTTTCTCATGGCCCAAGAGTTTGTAGGTAGAAA